CTGATGTCTGTACTGCTGGGAGAAAGACCTCTCGTCCCCCTCCTTCTCCCTCCTCCCCTTCCTCTCTACTCTCTGGATCCGCCTAGGCAGATTACCTGACTACCTGAAATTCCTGTTATTCATGGTCTGATTCTCCAGCTATGTAGCTGCAACTTTTTCACTTGCTTTGACCAATCTACATTGCCGTATGGTCACTCTTCTGGCTCTCCTGATGTTCTCTTCGTCTCCTGAATAAGTATGTTGGAAGTTTTTGTTGAAAAACGAATCTTGCATGCAGTTGGGTAAGGAAAATAATGAAAACTGTGTTTCTCGAATTTAAAAAAAAAATTTTATTTTTTGAAGTTTCTGTTTTGCAGTTTTATGAAACCTCTGCTTACGAATGCAAGTCCAACATTGCTAGAGACACTACCATCATTTCTGGCACCGTTTGCAAGAATGTTCACAACCGAGCAACAGCTAAGTTTGGTATGTCTAAGCGCAAATGTTGATTTTCCTTTCAGAATATTTTTATTTTTGAAAATTTTTAGTTGCTCGATTTTCATCGGATTCAAATCCGGTCTGGGAAGGTATCCTTCAGTATGGTTATAAGCAGTGAAATCAAACTTTGTGATTTTGATCTCAAGCTGTAGATTTTTGGTTATAGTGTTAAAAATTTCCGAGAATTGTTCCACACACACACACACACACACACACACACACAAACACACACATACACACACAAACACACAAATATCGTGCAGAACGGGTTCAGCACTGATTTGACAGAAACTTTTGACAGAGAGATGATATTATTTGAAATAAAGAACCCATTTGTTGATAATTATAAAAAAATTAAAGTGAAAAAGGAAATAGGGATTAAAAAATGACTGATGAAACTGACATATATACAGAAGTTCGCATTACCAAACCAAAGATCACAAATTTATATCGATTCCATTTTCTATTTCTTCTCTTTGTTGTCTTTTTTATCTTAAAAATTTCTATACTACACTAAACCATCTAAATTATTTTGTTACTATAATCGTCGTTACTGACGAGATCCAACTGTGGTAACGGTAAGAAATGTATACGACTTAATGGACCGAAACATTTCCTACCTATTACAAACACTTGCATATTCCCATTTCCCTTTTTTACTTCGTTTTTACTTCGCTCTTCTTCCCTTCTTCATTTTTTCTACTTCAACATTTTCTCTTGATCCTTTAATGAATGTATAAAGAATATCTAAATTAATACTACACATGAAAAGTTTAGTTATATTGACGTAAATGTTATGTTTTGATCATACAAGAAGCAAAAATTACAGGAATTTTTTTTAATGAATTCCATTTCAGTATACCCAGGCGGACGATTCGGATTCAGTGAATACCCAGTCGACGCCCAATGAAAATCCATTTCTAAGGGTACGCTATTACAATTCAACCGGTAAACTATCAATGAACAATGGCATGCCCGAGTTGTAGAACATGGCTTCATGGAGGTAGTAGTAATTCAAAAGCACCCATCATTTTCGTCAAACATCTAACATCCAGAGCTGTACAGTTAATTTTGCTGTGATGTATCCACTGGAAATGGCGCAATTGTTCCTTATTTCTTACTTTTAGTGAACTCAAAATCGTGAATTTTAAGGTTAAAGAAATGCAAAAACAAAAATTATCGCATATTTGGTTAGCGCTTGATTCGAATCGAGCCAGTTAAAGGTTAAATTAAGCGTGAATGTCAAATCCGGTTACGCCGAATCCTGGATACATCACTGCAACAGTATTTAATTTTTGCACTGCATCAGAATTATTTGATATGTCGAGATCTTTAAATAGAAAAAAAAAATGTGATTAGGGGTACGATTAATGAAAAATTAGCATTTTTATTAAATCTAGCAGAAGCAGAAGATGAAACTTCACCGCTTTCATACTCTGTAAAAGGCGAAGGAAAATTTGGAAATTAGCTTAACTGGCAAACTCTCACTGGCAAAAGTACCAATAACTCCAAGTTTTGTTTACGTCCAGATCATGGCAGATTTTGACTCCCTGACATGCGCCAAAATTAGTTTATCATCGAAATGAATGAACGAATTGCGAAGAAATCACTCCTCTCTCAGTGACGCAATTGAACTCTCGACCTTCGGCGCAAGAACAATACTTCTGCTTGCCACTGCGCTATGCTAGCCAGCCATTTTTAGATGCTTTCCCTGGAAAATTAATAATCTGTATTCTTATTATTGTCGGTGATTTTGCTCATTTTCCGGTGTTTTTTGATTGTTTTTCTTCGAATCTAAAATTCCAGTTTCAGCCACTGGAAAACAATGCTGTTGGCGATCAAAACAAATAAGAAAAATTGCTTATGCACGAAAACACATCTTTCCTGGTTTTCTTTTCTGGAATGCGGAATCGGCATTTCTGGGTTTGGGCTATGCGTATTAAGTTTTCGTCAAATTATTTGTTCCTTTTAGCTTTTTTACTATTTCATTTATACTTCATTTCCTGCTTATTATTATTTTATTATTTTCGCTAGTAACGATAACGTATTGCATCCGTACGGCACTGCTTTCATGGGCAAGCTTCTTTGGGTCCGAAACTTTTAGGGCATTCGCTACGGCTTAAAATTTGAGTCAAATAAAAGCTCTTCGACGCGCAATGCTTCACTTTAGATTGTGAAAAACAGTTGTTTTTTGCTCCTGCTAGACGTAACTGTCAACTTCTTCCAAATTAGCCATGCATTTATAAAATTGGCCGTGAGCTTATGACACTTTGGTTTACCTATTATTTGCTAACTTTCGAACTCTGAATGAGAAAAGTACCTGGGTGGTATCTACATTTCTAATAAACTTAAAGAAAATCTACATTTCTAATATTTTTTAATATTTTACATTGAAGTTACATTAAGTTGAAAAAAAATCTACATTA